CACAGAATTAGTTCAAAATTTTCTGGAACAATTTTTGAGAATTGAGGTTTAATTTGATTTAAAAACATATTTTAATCAGGAAAGCCGGATAGTTTTTGATATAGTTGAATTCATCTAATAATACTTAAAACTACTTAGCTTTATAAAACGTTACTTACATTAACAATCAGCCTGAGTTTTTGATGTTGTCTGCTGTCCGAAGAAGTCGTCTCCACTCTACTCGATCCATGGCCACACGTCACAAGCCTCGTAGTCTGCGAAGGGTTCGCAGGTCGCTTTTTAATAGGTCGATCCACCTTGATCCACGACGTGCCCAGCCCACCGTAATCACCCAATTTTTGAAATGTGGACGATAGATGATTCTCCCAACAGCTGGTGCAATTCGTGGTTCAGTCGCCTCCTTCACTTTCCATCATCCATCTGAACTCCACCGTAGATGGTACGCAACACTTTCCGTTCGAAAACACCAAGGGCGCGTTTGTCCTCCACGAGCATAGTCCAGGTCTCGTGGCCGTAGAGGACCACCACCAGCATCTTGTAGATAGTCAACTTCGTGTGGCGGCGAATTATATTCAACCGGAGCGTCCTCCGGAGTCCAAAGTTGACACGATTCCCTTCCAAAATGCGTATTTGAATTCCTCTACTGGTTGTTGTTGTGGTTTATTTATTTTGAGCGGTTTTTACCTTTAAGGTCAATCATCCTTTTCTCTGCTGGAATCATTTTCGGCGGTCACCAGTGAGCCCAAATACACGAGCTCGTCAACCACCTCGATTTCGTCACCGTCAATCTGAACTCGGGGTGGGAGGCTAACATTGTCTTCCGTTGAACTTCTTCCTCTCATGTATTGCGTCTTGGATGCGTTGATGGCAAGTCCAATCCGCCTAGCTTCAGCCTTCAGTCTGATGTACGTTTCCGCCATCGTCTCAAAGTTCCATGCCATGATATCGTTGTCAACAGGTGAAGCCAAGAGCCTCGATGAACTTCCTGAAGATCGTACCACTCGTGTCTATCCTAGCTCTTCTTATCACACCTTCTAATACAATGGTAAATAGCAGACATGAAAGTCCATCACCTTGCCGTAGCCCCCTTCGAGATTCAAAGGGACTCGAGAGTGTTCCCGATACTTGAACAATGTACATCACTCGATCCATCGTTGCCTTAACCAATCGCGTCAGTTTATCTCGAAATCCGTACTCGTGCATAATCTGCAATAGCTGATCTCGATCGTAAGTGTCGAATGCGTCTGGGCACTGATGATGTCTGGGCACGTTGTATTCACATTATTTCTGCAGAATCTGCCGAATCGCAAAAATTTGGTCCATTGTAGCGTAAGCACCCATGAATTCCGCCTGGAATTGCCCCACGAACTCTCTTGCAAATGGTGACAGGCAGTGGCATAGAATTTCGGAGAGTACCTTGAAGGTGGCACTCAGCAGTGCGATAGGGTGGTAGTTGCAGCAATCCAACCTGTCGTCCTTTTTTGACGTAGGACTACGTCTGTGATTTCTATATGGGGGTACACTTTGTGAAAACCGAAAATGGAACATGTAACAAAATTATGAAAGATTTTGAACGTTAATAACTCAGCTGCCTCTGGACCAATTTCAATAATGTTATCACCAATCGATTAGAAATATTTCAACGCATCTGTTGAATTTAATACTTTTTCAATTTTAAAATATGACTATTGAAAATTGCACGAATGTGCAATTTTTGCTACGATACTTAAAACAATCACCGATTGCCTGCGAAAAGCGATTTCCCTAACACAGATATCAAAGTTGAATTTCATCCGGTATCACCAAACGGTGTTTATTCAATCACCGCGTGGTGAGTGGTGGTGTTCTCCAGTACACAACGAAAGGCTCCCCGCAAGCAGCTAGATCTCAAGGCTGGCCTTAACCGCTGATCGGATTCAGTTCCAATCACCGTGTGTGGTGGTGTCCGGTCGTCGACACCATCAGAAGGAGCAGCAGCAGTACTTTTGGTGCGTCGCGTTGAAAATTGTTCCCCAGTACACAACGAAAGGTGGCCTGCAAGCAGCGAGCTGCAGCCCACAGGAGCATCCATAGAAGGAGAATGAAGCCGCACCGCTATTGATCGGAATCAGTAGCTCTTCGTGAGTCGCTGTGGGCCATCTATGTCAATCGCGTCATACTAAAGAGTATAAACAGAGAGAACCTCGCTCAAATTCCTATTCCTACACAAAACACAAGCTCCTGCTGCAGATAACAAATTAGATTTATTATATAAGACCACGTAGTCCTACGTCACCATTGCGCACAACCCCATAGGGCTGTCCCTCGTAGTTTTTAGATTCGGCATACGATACGTTCTATCCACTCCTCCGTTAATATCCCAAATCTTGACTTCATAAGACCACCTCAACCAAAATAGCTGAAGTTCTTAAAGAACAACCTCAACAAATTCAGAAACTACTCATCAGAATATAGGTTTAATTGGATTTCAAAAATATTTCAATCAGGGATGACTAATCCGGATGGTTTCTATAACAGTAAAACTTATCTTATTATTATTTTAAAACTACCCATCTTTATAATAGTGCCTCTACCAAATAAGCTGGAATTCTCACAGATTTTAGTTGTTCGGGGGTATTGATGTAAACACATATTTTTAATCTGCATTAAAATAAGTGCGATTGCATTCGACAAAATCAGCATCTTAGCACCTCTCGGTGGGACTTTGTACGAGAGCGTGCTGTCACTAAAATGACTCGTTTAGGAGTTATTAATTTTGTTCCGCTAGATTGCTTTCCTAAACCACCGTGTACTAAGAACAGAGCTCTGGACAGTACTCACTCAAGTAGGCGCAACATAGAATTTCCGTCCAATCTCATCAATGTCATAGGATTCTCACGACCTGTAATCTCTCAATACAGGAAGGTAAAGACTGCATAACTCGAAACTAACTTTTAGTGAACATCGAGTGGTAGAGAATTAACTGTAAAATACAAACATCTTTCCAGCGAAAAATTTACTAATTTTTCCAACGAGATATTCTCAGTGCATATCCCATAAAATTGAGATAAATTTCTCAAAACAAAACCATTCTCCCAAACTTATGCTCCGCTTGTAACATTCTCTCTTCAACCATCTTTTGTTTTGACTACTTTATTATGCTCATGCTCTCCCCATGGCAATCGATCAAAAGTGAAAATCCAAAACAGAGAGTTTATCCAATCTGAACTCACTCCGATACACCGACAGCGAGAGTGTTTCTCCCAGCTCCAACAACTAGCTGAGCAAACTTCTAAGCACTCTCCCACTCACACCCACAAAAGACGGCGATCATATGGTCGACGATCAACGACACAAGAACAACAACAACAGAGCATGTAGGTACGGTTTATCATCGATCACCTTGTCCACACGAGACCTCTCATAATGAACGGCGGTGATGGTTGCATATGCGTGCGTTCGTGGTCCAAAGAGTGGACGAAGAAGATGATAAGGAAAGAAGCAGAGGTAAAATCAACAAAACAATCCAAGCAGCCCAAGTGTCACGAGCACACTGATAGAGGATCAGCTATAAATATATGCACAGTATTCGCACCGTTAACGTGATTGATAATGGGATGTTAACCAACAATCGGTTCAGTGGTAAAAGATGTAGTAGCTAATGACAAAGACAGGCCTGAGAACAAGACTAATGAATGACAGTCGGGTTGTTCAAATACTACTTCTTCCCCTGCAGAGATAATCTCCCGTACGATTTTTGGAATTATTTTACACGTTGGACACGTTGAAGAAATCACCTCAGTAAGCAGTGACAAGTTCATCGGCATTTTGAACTAATCTTCCGGATAGAAGGTGATACGTTGTTTGCGGACTAGTGGGATTATTTAAGATTCACGTAAATGTAGCCGAAACCCGCGAAAACGGGGCTGTTACTGTATCATCAAAGGAAGCAGACAGATCCGATACGAGCTATATACGTTTGGGGCGTGACGCTCGTGGATGAGAATGACTTCGTAATCACGTTCCTCCAGGACGTGGCACTTCCTAGGACGAGCACGCGCTTTAAATTTTTGCGAACATCGCTAGAACATAAAAAAAAAACTCCCGTTTGTGTGGCATGTGTTCCAATGCGGGACGTGCCCGAGGGATCAAACGAGTAAGGTAGGTTTCTTAGGAGATAAGGATTGCCGGCCTGGTGCGTGGCTTACTCGTGTATGCGCTCCGCTGTTTTTATCATTGCTGTCGGATCTTTTTCACACTTTCTTCGCAAGCAACAACCACTACACTAAAAGCTATCGATGGGCTGCAGGCTACTTCGATCGTGTGGTCAGTAAGAAGAGCGTCCCCGTGTAGGTATGAGTCAGAAAGAGAGCACGCGAACGCGGCATTCGATCGAGCAAAAGAGCAAGAAGTGGTCGACGAACATTAAAGGGGCCCTGGACTCCTTGGCTTTGCCTGTCGTCGATGATCAAGGGGCGAACGAGGCGGGTATAAAATGACTTATTTTAAAGCGCTACGCTTTCCAGCCGCTCGATCAGTTGCAATTGTGATGCCGACGAGGTAGCATAAGTTTTCCAAGTTAGCTCAAGATCAAGGAGGGAAATTGTGGATCTTAGTGACTCTGGAGTGAAGTAGCAGACACCGAGACCTGCAAAGAGGTGGTTCAAGTGTGTGGAGACGATTCCCAAGGGGAGAGCCCCGCAAGAAGGAGAAACTACTGGACTGTGTTGTTTTTTGTTTTTCGTTGTTTTAACAAGTCTACCACAAGACCGCGTAGGTACGCCAGGTTTTCCTCGTCTGAATCCCTTTTTGTCTCAAGCCATCAAGGCGGAAATTGTCTCCATCGGTGCGCATAGATCCAGAAAGCAGTACGTGCATACTACTGAAAACAAAAAATAAAACAAGTCAGTGTCCTTTGAGCGTCGGTGATTACCGCTAGGAGGAAAGAATCGTTAAAAAAAAAACAACACAAGAAGAACGCTCATTTAGCCTCAACTGAAGAAAGAAAAACATGTTGGAAGTGATTTCAATCCAAGCAATCCACGAAACGCGATTATACGATTACAGCTGAAGATAGTGCAGTGCCTCGACTAGTTACGTACTGAGTGCATGAAACCCCTAGCAACAACAAAGTAAACACAGTGTGATTGTTATTTTATCTCCCAAACCTAAACTGTGATTCTGGTTTGGTTGTTACTAAATTTAAAACCACAGTGGACAAACGCATCAAACAAGTGGCATCTGTTTCTATTTACAATCAAAACAAACAGCCTACTGAGGGTTGCTGTCATTAATAACATGCTCATGGCTTGTTACTATATTGAGAAGAGCTAGCAAAGAAAGGCGTTGGCGCTTATCACGACACTTAGACGACTGAACGGGACCGCCCTTTGGATTGTGTGTGCTCCATGTGTGTTATTATTTTTTTCTTACTATTATTAACTGGTACTTGCCCGATTCGTGTTGACCCTTAACCCGTGTGCCGGTTGCGTTTTGAATGTGTACTTTGGAACTCTACTGGATCGATTTCATTTTCATCTTCAACAAAAACTGCTCCAAATCGACTGAACTGGCGAACCGTTGGAGCATTCTTCTCTGCTGTAGATTGATCAACGAAAGAAAACGCAAAGGTAGGTGTGACACGTTTTTCAGCTTGAGCACAAGTTTACAGATTGATAAGTCGAAATCAGTCGATTCGAAGTCATTATGGTTCGAAAACCTGCAAACTCATTAAATGGATTAGCGCTGCGATAAAGACCACCAAGTTCTATTTGTGGAACAAACTAACTTTATGGGGAGCGGAGAAAACGAGGCGAACAGGCAGAAATCTTTGTGATTATAGCTGACATTGAGCGTGTTTACCACAAACTATAACGGTAGCAAACCGATGAATGTTTCCTGCTAAACTGGTTAAAACTAACAAATCCAAATACGATTCAGCTGCTCCCTTGTAGTTAAGCTACCACATGGCAGTAGTTTTCCAAAACTGTTGGAACAAACTGTGGAACTGTTTATTTTTACAGTCCTGGCAACGGTCATAAAGATTATCAAATTCGATAGACAAAAAACGTGCTTCTTCAACATAAATGGCGTTCTTTTCAAACTTGCAATTTTTCAATGATCTCTGATTTTTTTCCTGTGTTCTTTAATTTAAATTCAATAATTTACCGCTCCAAATGAAAGCTGACACTATTTTTTGCTAGGTCATTAAGCCTAGGAATTAAGCAAATTCAAACAAGAATAATTATGGTTTAGATGTTGAGCCAATGGCACCATGTTTGTGTTTAAATGTTGGTAAGTTACTTTGAAAATAAATACAAATTTCACTCTCAGGTAAATTTAAACAACCCTGTTATATTTAGACAAATTTGGATTACAGTTTGCAAAAAATTACCCTAGCAAAACTTCTAAATCTTGAGGGAATACGGTATAAGGTAACGATACTAAAATACCTACGCCACGTGGCAAAAAAAAACTGGTGTTGGTTTTACATGAAACATATTTTTCAAGTGTATTTTGATCTTTTTTCAGACTATTTTGTATGCTTTTAAATAGTATTAATCGTATTTCTCAATGTTTACTCTGAATTGGAAATACGTATCCAGAATTTTGCGCTTGGTGATGATGGCCGTGAGTGCCCTTATTTTACATTCGGGACGATGAACATAATTTAAAAAACGAATCCAAGTCAACTGTGATGTTATTGGAAACCATTTCAGAAGGTCCTATTTGCATTGATCAACTTTCTTTATATTTCTCTCTCGTTACTAACTCAGCTGCAATTTCTTTTCCTGATGTATTTGACGATTGGACGCTAGATAAAAACCTCCTTTATTAAACTATGTGGTAAAAATAAGGCGAAATCTGTTAACATAACAGTAGAGTAGAGAAATTCGAAGTATAGAATCGATCAAAGCAGAAATGTTCTTTGAGATTTGTCATATATTTTCAACCACCACTCATTAGGAATATAAACATTTGCTTGTACCCTTAGGCCGTGTGCCAACTGATGTGGCGGAAGTGTGGCATCTGCCGGAATCACTTCACCGTGAATGACAACTAGTCACGTAGTCACTAGGGCCCGTGTTCACGTTCACCACACGCCACACGACTTCAACATGATGTTTTGACATATTATATGATGCCACATTACCACCACATCAGTGGGCGCCCGCTCTTGTGTCGTTCTGGTTTTTTTTTCCGGTGAAGAACCGGTGTAGTGTAAGCAGGAATAAGCGCGACTCATTGACAGCATAACATCATTTGTTTGTAATCAAAGGTGCATCTACACCCTAAATTAATTCGGTGTAGCTACACCGCAAAAATGAAAACGACATTAATTTTACTAAGCTCTTTCTAAATTTAAGATGAGCGGAAAAAACGAAAATGGAATCAATCTCTTCGAATAGATTGAATGGATGATGGAGATACAAACGAACACAGCTCCTGGTAATCCACACGGTGACTATTACACAAGAGAAATAATCGTCCGGAAGCACCATCCCTCGGAAACTCTGGAGATATCAGTTACCAGATTGGTAGAACAGATTCCGTTTCTAGGAATTCTAGAATCATCAACGCACAAGTATGATTGGAAAAACTTCTATGGGTGCAGTACAAGACTTTTTTACTGATTCTGTTGCACAAACTTTGGAGCATCGGTGTCCATGGTGATCAGTTCCAGGTGTGGTCGTTTGTTGAATGCATATTAATGCTTGTGAAATCGCAGTATGAAATTCAATTCAAGCTAAAGACACCAACTCTCCACAACCTCCATTACACAAATCGTTCGGCTTCTTTACAAAAGTTGGTATGTCTTCAAGCGCAAAAATCCTAACTCAATCCGAAAAAACCGCACATTTTCGCCATAACTATTTTATTTTTAGAAATTCTGCCATTCTATAGAAAAATACAAATCAAAGCCTCCACCTACTTATCACAGCCTCCAAAACAACAGTTGAAATTGAAAATAGAATTAGGCTGCATAATGTCGTAGGTGGTACGCACTCCAAACTGTTGTTAAGAAGGAGACCAACCTTCACCCGTTGCTGTTAGATAGTAATTTGTGATGAATAACTACCTCTTAGATAAAGGATGTGTCTCCCTCCAACAGACCAGAGCTGTCCTGGCCACGTCCTTGAATCTGGTGGCGAAAGGGGAGGATTGTTAATCCGCCACTTACTTAAGAGAGATGCAGAGAGCTCTACAACCCCTCGTAAGTGTCACGGGAAGGGTGGATTTTTGTTAGTAGAGAGGGTAAGCCATAGGATACGACCAGCCGGCGTTGCTCGAAATCGTTATATCAAGCATTTAATAAATAGAAGCTGTAAGTAGTTTATCTGTCCGTTGTTGCTGCCTATTACCTGAACATATTATTCAAAACAGTCTTCAGATTTTGGAATTAAGAAACGTTATGAACTCGATCCTGTTGCTCCTTTGCGCCTGATAATGTTTGTTGATCCTAAACATATGCACAATTCATTCTGATCGATAGGAGGTTCTCATGTGTAAAAGGTTATTAATAGTACCTATGTAAAATCGTTGATTAGAATGAAGATTCGCTCTTGGCCTAACTCCCACTGTCTGGCAGTGGCATTATGGATAAAATCTGCCTGCAATCATTTCTTTATACTTGATTGAAGTGTATTTAGTAAGTTTTGAAATGATCGTCTTGAATTAGATGGTTATTTCCTATCGAGGACAGAGGAACGAAAAGGTAAATAAACTTAGCTGATCGTAATTACGCGTAAGCGGTCGGCACCACATGCAACGGATACGAATTTCAAAATTTTCACTTAATGCACTTTTCAACATCACTTCTGTACTTTCAAATTAACACTTTTTAAAAATGAAATTGTAAATTTATAACATTTTCATTAGAACGAAAACGACGCAGCAAAACAAAAACACATCATTTTCGCAGCGCGGCCTACTTCGATCAATTGAAATTGAAAATAGAATTGACGTTTATTTTTTTCACTGATCCATGGCAGACCTTGATCAGTTCCTCAATATTTTCTCCGTTCTGAATGTCAAATAAGGGCACTCACTACTAGAGAGGGTCTAGTATAAGGGAGAATCGAATTGAAAACAAACTGCTTTGGCAACCTATGCCTAGGTGGTTTCTAGCAACACTGCCAATGCAATCAAGATAGGCGCTGCTCGATTGGCTCTGGCTTTGACAGTTCGTTTGGCTCAAAACGAGCCAGTCCGCTCCTCTCTACTCACCGAACGCAAAATACTGGTATTCAGAATTTTGCGCTTGATAATGGCTGCCATGTAAGTTCCAGAGTTTAAAAATATTGACTGCTTAGGCTGAGTGTGAAAGCACTGCACTATTCAATCCATTGCTCTATCCAGACCGTTTGTACCGAACGGTAAAGGACGAGGCAATAAAAGAGCCAACAAAAACATTCAGTTACTCACGAACAGGCGACTCGCACCACTTGCCTTCGCTCACACAGCATGTAATTGAGGCATTTTTTCCATAGAAAATGTACGCTCAGTCATCCAAAACAAGGATTGGGTACCATCACGGAAGAATAAACGTGCTGACTGAGCTGCTGACTGAGTGCTCGGCTGTCAGTAACTTGTTTACCTCTCAATCACTCAGACTCTCACGAGGCAGTGAATGATGAGGCGGATGGCAGTTCATATTCATATGAAAATGACTCATTGAACCTGACTGTTTTGCGCACTGGTAAGTTCTAATGAGCGTGATCTTGACAACGCAATCAACATGTAAATCAAACATCTACCATCAACATAAGCATAAATCAGAACAAAAATTAAGATGTTGGATTCAGGGGCAGGACACCTTGGATGAATACATGAAAATATGGCTTGATATTTTTATTTGCTAATAGACTTAAAAGCTAAATATTCGTAGAACAAACCTTGATTAGCAGAAAAAGCTATTTTTGTCAATATTTAGAAATATTTGATGATTTTTTCAAATATATCTAAGTTGTCTTGTCCCTTGAGCGAATATTGAGTGGAATCCTGTAGAGCAAAAGGATGGAGATGGGTATCATTCAGAGTTAAGCTGGGTTTAGACTAGGCAAGTCAAATGATCAACTCAGTTGAATTCAATTGACTTGAAAAGTTGAGCCTGGTTCAACTTTTTTCAATTCAAGTGAGTTGATCAAGTCAGTTGAATGGCATGGTTTACACGTTCAATTTGCGTTCAAGTCAGTTGAATTCAACTGATTTGATCAATTGACTTGCCCTATCTAAACCCAGCTTTAGAGTTTCATTTTACCCTATCTCGAATGTTGAATCCAGTTAATACCGGGTTTTGACTCGATAATTCAACAATTACATCCACACGGCCGTTTAAACCAACTCAAACTTGAGTATCGTTCACTCAAACTCGCAAAAAACGTAGGTTACTCATAGACTGAGTACAAGTTTCCTGGATTTTCCTTTTATTTTATTTAGAAATTCGAAAAGCTTTTCGAAAATGACGAAAATAGAGAGAGGTTTCACTCAGTCCTTTCCTAGACTGAGTAAAATTATCGTCGATTTTCCTCATATTCAAGCACTCAAATTTGAGTTTAGTTTGCTCATAATAGCCAAGAGTGCAGGAACTTTGCGATGAGTATATTTGCCTTATGGTTTCCTGTGGAAA